TGTGTTCTTGGCATCGGCCAGTGCTGCTATGGTTTCTGCCTCCTCGCTGCGCTCCACGCTGGCCCGCCGTTGTTGCTCCTCTTTGAGGACAACCTCGGCTATGGGAAACACATAGGTGACCAGCTGCTGTATGCTCCGACGCGCAGCCTGCTTGATGCTGTCAAGGAGTCCCATATGGGTCTCTCTTAGTTTTTCGATCTTCTCCACTCTGTCCAGCACGTAATCCTCGAGCATCTTGACCTTTTCTGGGTATTTGGGTAGGTTCTTCCGCTTCTCAGCATTGGCACGACGCAATTCATCCCGTCGCTCGCCCAGAACGCGCAATCTCTTGTCCGTGCCGGAGATTAGTTGCTGGAGGAGTTCCAGTTGCTTTCGCTTGGCCTTGATAGCCATCAGGCGATCCTCATTGGAGCGGTGCTGCTCGATGAGGCGTTCGTAGCGCGTGCTAAAAGTTTTGAGGCCCGCCTGCAGGTTGATGTAGCGCTGCTGTTTCTCCGTCAGACTGAAATATTGTAAGATCGATGGAGATTACATGTGTTAGTCAGATAAGGCTGCCAGCAAACCTTTCGGGCCTCTCCGCCTGGCTGTGAGTAATGTTTCCGTTTCTGACGCAATTGCGACAGTGGAATCGACTGGCACTGCAGCTGTGGCACAGGGGGCACCGCATATGGGCGCCCGTTCCCGTGGTGGTGCCCGTATCCTTGGCGCTCGCATCCTTCAGCAGTTCCTTTGCCGTTTGTCTGCGCTTTGTTGTGTATCCTGCGACATCGCTAGACTCTTCGTCCTCGCCGTTCGTGGAGGCACTCGAGATGCGGAAGTTGTCGGGGGCCTTGCAGCTTTCGTCAGAGCTGGAGCTATTTGCCATTACAGCCAGAGCATCGCATTTATTTGTTATATTATTGTGTTGTTATTGTTAATTTTATTTAATCGCTTATCGCAGATCGAAATATCGGAAAAGTAGCTATCGTCAGTGTTGGCAGCTCCAGAGAGTGAGAAAGAGGTCAGTGCAGTAAAACGGCTGTTGAACACAGGGCTCCAACATTGGCGCGCCAATTTCAAATTGAACACAGTAAATGCTAAAAACTTTAGTTGCATTAACTAGAAGAAAGTAGTTGCAACCCCTTTTAGCGTATTTAAATGTTTTCGTTTATTTTCACAAGAGATTTCTATAACCAAATAATTAAACTAGAACGTTCGAAAAAGAAACAAAACCCTTAATCGGTGCTGCTTAATTTTCAAATCATTCAATTTCCTGTTCGGTGCACTAGTTTGGGGGCAGCTCGGTTAGACCAGAGGCAGCGTTTCGACGAGGACTGTAAATTTAGTTAGCTCGGGGTACTAATCGTGCGACTAGACGTAAATCCCTACTTGGCGGCGGCCACGCCTTGCCCACCTTGCCGCCCAGAACCTTCAGGGTCGCCTCCACCACATCCTGCACTCGGGGCAGGGCGTGCAACTCCAACGTCTTGGCGTATGGCATGGGCACATCCACTCCAGCGCAACGCCACACGGGGGCGTCCAGCTCGAAGAAGGTCTGGTCCTCCATAATGCGGGCGCAGATCTCAGCTCCAACGCCTAAAAATATAAAAATATTTGATTATACACCTTATATTGCAGGAAATATTCTTCGCATACCGTGCTGTGGCCAACCGTTCTCAACGGTGACCAAATGGTGGGTCTTTCGAACGGAGGCAAAGATGGTAGCCGTGTCCAATGGACGAATGGAGCGCAGGTTGATGACCTCAGCCTCAATACCTATATAGTAGATAAAGTAACATAGCTGCTTTCCAAATCATTAAGCCATATCCTACCCTTCTTGGCCAGCTCAGCAGCCGCCAGCAGCGATGTCTCCACCGCCTTGGAATGCGCCACAAGGGTGATGTCCTTGCCCGGCCGCATGATCTTCGCCTTGCCGATGGGCACCACGAAGTCCTTATCGGCCACATTGTCGGCCACAGGGAAAGCGGTACCGTAGACCAGCTCGTTCTCCAGGAACACCACTGGATCGGGATCACGGATAGCGGCCTTCAGCAGGCCACGGGCATCCTCGGAATCGTATGGCGAGATACCTTCAGGCCGGGGCAGTGGGCGTACCAGGCGGCGAAGCACTGCGAGTGCTGGGCGGCCACACCGGAAGCGGCTCCATTCGGACCACGGAACACAATCGGCACGTTTACGGCACCAGCGGACATGTAGAAGGTCTTGGCGGCCGAGTTGATAATCTAAGGTTCGGTATTATAATAAATATTTAAGATACTTATGGTTGATACTGGAAAAATTAAGTGAATCTGGGTACAAGCAAAATTATGATACTCAATTTGGTTGTCTTAAAATTTAAGATTCCTTTTGATTTATTAAAAGCAACATGTTTAATACGGATGCCTCTCCCTCTAACTGCCAATGCACCAATTCAAGCTAATACAAGTCGCACTTTATTGTTGACACTCCAATCCACCCACTCCACTTCCGTCTCGACGTTCACTTAATGCCTAGTTTCTGCTTAATGATAAATGCTGGCAGGCGGCGTCCCTTCCAGAAACGCGGCAGTGGTGTCTCGTTGGCCTGTCGCAGGATCTCGGCCACGTGCTGCTCCGCGCTAAAGGCTTCCGCCTGCTTAATCTGGGCAATCAGCTTGCCCTGGAAGGCCTTCTCCTTGCGCATCTCGCGACGTTGGCGCACCTTGGCCCACTCGAACTTCATCTTGCGGCGGAGCTTCTTTAGCTTGTGCTTCTTCATCTTGCGCCGCCGAATGACGATGAGGCGAGCTGCCTCCATCTTGTCCGGTTTGCTCTTGTCCAGCGGCGGGGCAATCACCTCGCCCACTCGGTCTCTGTGCAGGATGTCGTTGATCTCGTTGAGCCAGGTGGAACGAGGACTCTCGATAATGTGACTCACTGGCAGCGGTCGATCCCCGACTGGCGGTTGGCACAATCGAGTATCTTTGCCTGCACGTAATCGGATAATATGGGTGGGGATTAGTGAGATCCGATCTATGACTGGGGCAGGAGCTAATCCACCCATATTATCCCATTAAGCGCCGCGGCCCGATCTTGCACCTGAATTGGTATATTAGCTAGCTAATGGAGTTGTGGGGCATTTGGATTGGATTTTCGTGTTCTTCGTTTTTTTAATTTTTTGTTGGCAATGAGATAATATGAGTAGTTAGCCTACTGCTGAAGTGCGGAGAGTAGTTCTAAGAATAGGATGAGGGGACTCACGTGATCGATGGCCTGCATGGAGAAGTTCCAGGTCATGAACTCGCACACAGGTCGCAGACCGGCCATGGCTGCTCCAACGGCGATGCCGGCGAAGCCCATCTCTGTGATTGGCGTGTCGATAACGCGCTTGTCGCCATACTTCTTCCACAGTCCACGGGATACCTAAAATGTGAATGTAAATAATGTATTAGATGTGTAACATCTCAGTTCCAAGAAGGATTCTGTAGGGTACTACATTCTTTCGTTGGTTCTTGTCCCTACTTGATATTCCTAGTTTGAAAGGAGCAACTGAGTACTTTATGGGTTAAAACTTTATCTCCATATACCTACTTGTAAAACTTTCCGAGCTGATAACAGTTTAACTGATTTTTATTTTTTAGTGAACTAAGAAAAGTTCTTTGGAAAATTAATCCATTGAGAACGATTTGCTTTAAGTATTGGCCGGCACCTGAACCGCCCACAGATGGGTAAACAAATCTTGATTTTATGGGGCAATCAACGTATTATCAGCAGACGACAGTCACACATATTCTGCGTGACCTTGTCAACTTCGATCACGCATTCCCACTCGCGCCGACCCATTCGGAATCATTATCAGTAGTTACATATAGCACGCATATATCACCCCAGAAACCGCAACCGCACTCCTACTTCCCCCATCCTGACCACCTGCATCAGCTGTCAGCGCGAACCGCCTGGTTGGTGTTTACGTAATCAGGGGACGGGGAAAAATGCTGATGACAGTTCTCTCGCTCACCTTGTAGGCACCATCGTACTGGGCCACCTCCTCGCCCAGGATGAAGACTCGGTCGTCGCGGGCCAACTCCTCGTCCAAAGCACTGTTGAGGGCATCCCGCACGGTCATCTGCTTGGCCGCCAGCGCCTTCTGGCTGGTGGAGAACGCTCGCTGGGCGGAGCTGGCCGCCTGGATGAGTCGGGATCGGAGCATCGTCGGTGTGTGGTTCGCTTTCCTAAGGGTCTATCGATTTCGTATCCGGCTGCAGGCGTGATTTTTGGGATTTAATAGCTATTATCTAACTTAACGTAAGATTTTACGCACCGACTTCCGTCCCGAAATTTTTATGTGAAATGTGGTGTGTGGCCAGAGTGTCACCTTTAAAATATACCAACAAAGCTGCGGTCACACTGGTTACATTTATTTTAGGGATGCCAGTTGGCGAAGTTACCTAAAAGTATGCTGCGAAAAAATAAGACCTCTTAATTTATCTATTCTTTTATTCATCTTAATTTAAAATTACAACAGGAGCAAGCGAAGTAAAAATTGAATAGGAAAATTTCGGGCCAACAGTGACGCCACGAGAATTTTCACAAGTTAGAACCGTTTGGACCTTTTAGATATTTATAACACCTTCCTCGCATACGGTTCTTTGACTGTATTTACTTATTAAGAAACAATTTTGGGAGGTATATGCGCCTTCACATGGCTTCTTGTTTAAATAAATAATTTACGTTTTGGTGCAACAGGTTGCTAGTCTTGCCAAGAAGGACATGTGCTGGAGATTGGTAATTTTCTTTAAAAAAATATAGTGTTACGCCTTTGGAAGGCTCCAAATTGACTTTCCTTAAAACGGCGCCATTGCAGTGCAAATGCATTTCCTTCTAAAAAAAATACTGAATATAAACACTAAAATACTGAATTGGTCGCATTTTTTGCTGACGCGAGTTGTAGCAACTATCCCCCATCTCTTTCTAGCACGTGTATTTCTTATGGAAAAATCCCCCCTGAAGCGAAAACCCCTGTGTGAGTATGCTATAAGAAGCGAACGATAGCATCGATAGCATAGCGCTGGTCTCGATTGGCAAGCTCCAAAAATGCTCTCGCAGAAATAATTTTAGAAATTTTATTTGTAATTCGCGTAGTAATGTTTTAATTAATGCACAGGCACGCAAGAGATGATTAGCGAGTGACGGAGGGCAGTAGTAGTTGGACCGACCTTGGTTAGTTAGCTCCACTTCCTCCGCTGGCAGCGGCGCAATCGATTTTTATTGGAGGCGAGGCGAATGTTGTGGAATTTCCCATCCAACTTTCCCACACTCAGAATTCCGGCGGCTTCATTTAGCGAAGCGCGATGAAGGACGGCGGTCACATAACACTCACACTCTCGACGGGATCACCGGCGACGGTGGACGAGCGGAGCAGGAAGAGCTTGCGGCGGGTAGGTGGAAAACGGGGCGTTGCTCCCAAAGGTCCTTAAAATATATCTTAAAACTTGCTATATTCCCCCGATTCAGGCTTGGAATCAGCTGCCGCGTTGTCAGCGTAATCTCATTATTCTCGGAATAACCGCCTTTTGCGTGACTGTGCTGCTATGTCTGAGTGGCGATCAACTGCTGGCCGCCAGTTAAGGGATGTGGACACTAAGGTAGTCGTGTCCCCATACCAAATGCCCTACCAAATCCGCACCATCACCCCGGCGTGGATAAGGACAAGGATGTGGCCAAAGACACTGCCGCGGCACCTGGTACGGAAGATAAGAGACCACCCCGGGCGGAGGCACTTAGTGATAAGGTATATAGCCCCAATACTTAATTGATAAGTGCTTAATTGACTACCGATGTTTGCACATATCAGTACGATTGCCTATTGGTGTTTTGATTAAGTGCCGGCGCACTTCCTATGAAATCTTATAATCATATCTCAAAAACAATTAATTTCAGTTCAATGAATTAGTTGCCTACGGAGAAGCGAACTCTGCCGAAAATGTGGTGCGTCTGCCGGAGACGGTGGCCGCTCAAGGACCTCCGCAGGCCGTGGCCTTGCCTCCGCCGGATAACAACAGGGAGCAGGACATTGGAGGGATCGACATCCTGAACAATGTGGAGGAGCCCGTTCCACAGGAGTCAACAGAGCCGCTCAGCGAACGAGAGCAGCTCGATCTGGCGATCAAGAGCCCACTGAATCTGGGCGGAGTCAGTTTCAAGGAGCACCTCAAAAAGATTAAGCCCCTTTTGGCAAGGGTCAGCACTTCCATGGCGCCACCAATGAGCGCCAGTCGGCTGTGGTTGCCGCCTTTAAGCACTCCTGGGCGGGCTACAAGAAGTACGCCTGGGGACACGACAACCTGAAGCCCATCTCACAATACTCCCACGAATGGTTCGGCTTGGGGCTCACCATTGTGGACTCACTGGACACAATGTACATAATGGGACTGGACGATGGTGAGTTGTCACCTTTTTCCAACTTTCGCTTTTTTTAATATTCACAACTTTCACCACACAGAATTCAAAGAGGCTCGCGACTGGGTGGAGCAATCACTGCGCTTCGATACTAAGCGCGATGTGAATCTCTTCGAGGTGACCATTAGAGTCCTGGGCGGATTGTTGTCCGCCTATCACTTGAGCGGGGACACAATGTTTCTGGCCAAGGCAGCGGAATTGGGCAACCGTTTACTGCCCGCCTTCCTATCTCCGTCGAATATCCCCTATTCGGATGTGAACCTCGGCGATCTGTCGGCCCATTCACCCAAGTGGTCACCAGATAGCTCCACCAGCGAGGTGACCACCATTCAGCTAGAGTTTCGTGATTTGAGTCGGTCTACAAACGTTTCCGTTTATGAACAGGTAAATAGAATCGGATAAGAGGCAATTCAAAACAATAAAACAATTTACGTTTGTTAGGTTGCTCACAAAGTAAACGAGAAGGTGCACGATCTGGATAAGAATCATGGCCTGGTGCCCATATTTATCAACGCCAACACGGGAACCTTCCGAAACTACGCCACCATTTCCCTTGGTGCTCGTGGTGACTCCTACTATGAGTACCTGCTCAAACAGTGGATCCAGACAGGACGTAAGGATAACGACAAGTAAGTGCTTTAATTTGTAATTGAATTAAGTTAATTACTTTTTTGACAATACATTCTGGGCAGAGACTTTGTATTATAGAAAGAGTCAATTGAGCTGTTTCACCTGTGCAAATACCAATTGTTTAGTATTATTTGATTTATTCAACCCTTGTTTATTTTAGCCTTATCTTGGACTACATGCAAGCAGTTGACGGAGTGCTAACACAGCTGATGCGGCGCACTCCACGTGAGCATTGGGTTTACATTGGCGAGCTGATCAATGGCAAAGACTTCAAGCCGAAAATGGATCATTTAACGTGTTATCTGCCCGGCACTTTGATTCTGGGTCACCAGAACGGGATGCCGGACTCACATCTAATCCTCGCCAGGGACTTGATGGACACATGTTATCAGACCTACATGATGAATCCCACACATTTGGCGGCCGAAATTTCCTACTTTGCGCTCACAGAAAAGATGATCAGGACATTTATGTCAAGCCAAACGACGCACATAATCTGCTGCGACCGGAATTTGTAGAGAGTCTTTATTATTTCTACTCTATAACTGGCAATCGCACCTATCAAGATATGGGATGGACAATCTTCCAGGCGTTTGAAACACACGCCAAAGTAAATGCGGGCTACACATCGATGGGAAATGTCAAGAACACACAGAATACGCGCCTGCGCGATCTGATGGAAAGTTTTTGGCTGAGCGAGACTTTGAAGTACTTCTACCTGCTGTTCAGCGATGACCGCAAGGAAATCGATCTGGAGCAATGGGTCTTCAATTCTGAGGGCCATCCACTGCCCGTCTATCCGCTCAAGACTTAACTACCCCCTAGGCGAAGCAAATAGTGGGCAGCGCAACTAGTTGCGCCACTAAACTAAACTAACTGGAAACCGAATAGAGTCGGCGCATTTAGGCTGCAACAATCGTTTTACTCGAATTCGTACTTTAGCGCAAATGCCAAATACTATGCTAAGCTTAGGACAGGCCGAGCTCAGTTGGCCAATCAATAAAGCAATGCCCAAATCGGGATGGGTCGATGAAGCACATTTTTAATCGCAGTATCAAAAAAAAAGTGTAAAATCAAATTTTGAAAACCAAGGCCCCTGCTTTCAAATTTATTTAAAATTTTGTTCAAATATATATATATTATTCAAGGCCAGTAAACTTAATTATCCAGCCTTGGGGCTATTAAAACTGATATTAACCAACGAAATACGGCAGATTTTTTCGCCCCAGCGATTATGAACAAATCATCGAACCATCCCATCTTCCTATTTAACATGTCATTTTAAAATCGCTAGGACTCGATTGTATATTTTTTGAACTGATAACTGTTATTTTGTAATAATTTATTTCCTACTGTAAGCACCTACTGTAACATGATATTGGGCCATTGCTAACCCGTCTTTTTAGCCAGTAGACAAAACAGCCGGTTTTAACCTTGTAATCTCTCTTGTAGTTAATTTTATGTTTATGTTAGCATGATATTAGGAACTCAGTTGCACTCAGCACAAAATCGATTTGTGTGTAATCTTAAAGTACGAAAAAAAACGAATCTCACAGAAAATGCTACAAGAGCATTTTGATCCCACGGGAAACCAGCATAATTGAAAAGAGCCGATAATAAAATGCGATAATTTTTAAAATTGTATGGAATTTTCTTTATTTTCCTAAGAACATTTCACCCAGTACAAACGCAAATGCATGAACTTTGATTGCATTTCCTTTTATTTAGTTTTCGTTCTCAGTTGGGTTTTCGGTTTGTTGCGTTTCAGTGAGATTTATATTGAATCTTTTGTTTGTTTTGTTTTATGTACTTAATGTTTATGACGACTATGAATGGATGGGCTTAATAAACTATCAAATATTAAAGTTGTTTCCTTTGCTTTGCTGTCTCTCTCTCCCTATGCTGATGATGTTTAATTAAAACTCACAATGTTTGTTTAAAAATCTTTAGTTTTCTCTTTATGTTAAATTACATTTAGACACATTTAGCTGAACAATTCAAATGACGACACTGCTCTTTGTTGTTGTGGAAAGGTGGTTGCGGGAGGGGCGACCGACTTGAGTTCTGAGTTCGATTTTGTTCTAAATACAACTTAAAACAATTCGCATTAATAATCTATCAATAGATTTAAATTTATTCAGTTTTGGGTTGCAAACTTAAATTATGCTATTACATATACATTTTTACACGAAAGTTATTTGTCTTTGAATAATAACTAGAAAGTTTCAAAATAGAAATACAAGATCATGCAACTCAGACGGGACGCTGGACAGGTGGGGACAGCTTTGTTTTTTTTTTTGAGGGGAGAGGATGGGTTCAGGTTATGGTTTGGGAATCATGGATGAGGGGCTGAATAAACGAAGCACATCTTAAAATATGGTACCTCTTGAAGTTCCCTTACAGACTACACGTAATACAAGCATTCCGTCCATGGTAGTACGTATCGTAGTAGGTGTGTTAGTGGTGGTATTAAAGTAGTAGTTAGTATTGTAATTGGTATGTAATTGATGCGTGGCGCCCGCCCTTCCCACGCCAAACATTTACAATTGCTTTCGCGACTCGCGAATCCGATTCGTTTTGGATAAACTTTGTAGTGGCTTACTGAGTGTGGGTGTTTTTTTTTTGTATAGACTTTAATCGTATTTATTATGTATGTTTACAAGCTAATCAGACATCTATATTTAAAACGTGGCACAAATCACAAGTCAGATTTGTCGCAAGATCAAGATACAATTGATACGATTCGTTAATTTGTTGTTATTTTTTTTTCCTGTGGTTCCTCATCTCAATATTATCAGCTCCTCTCTTCAATCGATCGGTTTAAGTGTATAAGATATTACATTAGATTCAATAATTTATAAATGTTTAAACTAAATTGGCTAAAATTGTGATTTTTGAACTGCTTTTGGTTTGCTTCGTAGTTTGCCATAGTTGGTACTCGTTAATCCCTAAGATCTTTGCATTTGCTTTCCAATGACACCCGTAGCTATGCCGAAATATTCTTTACTCTCGAATTGAGCACGTCAATAGGTTAGTTGGTTGGTTGGTTGGTTTGTTTGTCTGTAATATCAGAAGCAGTCGTACGTAAAGCGCTTTAAATGATATCTCCTCTTTAAAAATGCTTAGCTATATATATTTATAATCTGGTTAGACAGCTCCTGGGGCGCGATTGAAACTGCTGCATGCTCTAACTATTTACAAAACTCTTTCGCAACGTAATTCTTAAATAAATATATTTTATCTGGGCTTCTAAAAATCGATTGGATGCGGATAAATTGCTCTGCCTGATATTCCAACGACAACAAAATTGGCAACGTGATTTTAATTGTTTCTCAGAATTGCTTCAAGTAACTTAATTATGAATTATACAACCAATTCGTTTTCTTTCCCTTTTGTTTGCGCGTGATTCCTCCTCATCCCATCATTGCCTTCATTTCCTTACGTACTTTTCTTGGTTTCATTTGAATAAATTGTCTAGGGGCTTTCTCTTAGTTACTGTAGCTATATAATTTATAATATTATGTTCCGTTTAGTGTACCTCTGTGAGAAGCATTTGATGCTATTCGTCGTTTAGTTTTCAATTCACCACGTCAATTGCTTTATTGGCTTTATTGGGGCTGTCGTATTATAGATGCCGATGCCTTCACTTTCACCTCTCTCTCTTTCTTCATTCCCCTTGTATTAAGTAATTGGTAATCTGAGGGTTGGTCAAATATTGTACAAAACATTGGACTAAACAATACAAACAATAATTAAAAACAATTTATGCTACGGTTTCAACTTAAATCTAATTAAAGGTTGTACTCGGGGGTAAAACAATAACCAAGGACAACTAAGACGGGTATCTATACAATCAGGAAGTCATTATTATCAACCGTTTTTCACAAGGTGGTGGCATTAAACTCTAGTATCAGACTGTTGGAGGCATTTTCCGCGGCGGAGGTGCTTGGCGCTCCAAGTCAGGAGGTCATTATCGACTTGACCGGATCGTCCAAGCCGCCGGCCACGCAGCTAAAGTCGTTCAGTTGTCCCAAATGCTGCGCCTGGCCTGCGTCATGTTCTGATGGTGATGGTGCTGCAGGTGGGGCGGTTGCTGATGGCTCTGCATCATCTGATGCTGTTGGTGGTGGTGCTCCAACAGAATGTTACTGCTGTTGTCCGCCACTCCGCTAACTGCAGAGCCACCGCCACTATCAGACAGTCGTTCATCTCCTCACCCAGTTGGCGGCGACGCTGAATCACCTGCTCCTGCTGGCAGCTGGGCATAGTGCCGCCTGCCTGCCGCTGATCGTCCAGCGTGTCGCCCAGGATCGAGCCCAGAGAGAACTGCACGAGTCACCGCTGTTCTGCAGATTCAGGATGCTGTCAATGGCGCTGGCCACATGCCGACTAATGTCATCGTCGTACTCTCCACCAGCCACTACTGCTGCTCCGCCCATGTGGTTAACATGCATCTGCTGCTGCTGCTGCTGTATCTGTTGCTGCAGGTTGTGCTGGAAATGTTGCTGCTGGTGCTGTTGTTGCTGCTGCTGATCCAGTATGTTGGCATAGGAAAAGTTGTGTTGTGTTGAACCTGCTGTTGCTGCTGCTCCATGAACATCTGGGGAACCCAGCTGGCAGCATGTCCGAGTCCAGGAGACCATGCTGGGGCACTGGGACATGTTGCTGCTGCTGCGACGACATGGGCGACGAAGAGGACGACGACGAAGCAGTGCACAGACGTTGCTGCTGTTGTCATCTTCCATATCGCTGCCGGACCCATCAGCTGGCTATCCCAGCTCCGTTTCCGCGTCTCTCCTCCATTCACCACCTCGCCGTTGCTGGTCCGCTGGAAAGGAATCGCTGTAGTGCGCCTCCATGCTTTGCATCCAGCGTGGATTATTGTTGCAGTTCAGTTCAATGTGATGTTGCTGCTGTGATGGTTGTTGCGCGCCTGCATACTGTGCTGCTGTTGCGGCGCCTGCTGCTGCGGCGTCTGCTGCATAAATGTGGCATCTGGCACCCACATGCTCATCTTACTCTTGTGGTTGACCGCCGGCGATTTCGAGTCCCCAAAGATCTCGTCCAGGTTTGACTCAATATCGTGGGCATCGCTGCTACTTTCACGTCCAGATGCACGGGTGACTCCCCAAACATGGCCTCCAGTCGCGTCTCCACGGACTTTTGCACATCCGAGTCGCTGCTGAAGAACTCACTGATGGCAGGATGCTCGTTCTGTTGCTCAGCATCGATGACTACCGGCTGTTCGCGTTGGCCACTGCACGACGAGACAGTCTTGACGGGATTGGAGCCAGCATGGTTTTCGCTAACGCAACTACTATTGCTGCTCTGGTGGTACTCTGGTTGCTCTTGTCAATGCATCCATTGGGAACAGGTCGGACATGTGGTTACTGTTGTTCATCATGTTTAGAGTTGGAGTTGTCTAAGAAGTGCTGTGTTGCTGCTGCGCCGTTTGGCGGTTGATGGGCATATGCTGCTGGTTGCCATTTAGCTGTTGTGTCGGTTGCTGCATTGGATCATTATTCATAAGATGAAGCTCCTTTTGCAGGCAATACCAGCCATCGTCCTGGTCCACTGCATCTCCTCCATTGCCCTTGATATGTGGTTGCTGTTGCTGCTGCTGCTGTTGTTGGTCCATCAAGTTTCTTTCTTGGTAGCGAGCCTCCGCGCTCTTGGCCAAAGCTGCTTTGTTCTCCACCTTTTTCATGATGAAGCTGGTGGTGAGCTCAGACTCGATATCGAATTGTCGTAGTCCTTTTTGATGTACTTCGAAGATTCCTTGTCCTGACCCTCGCTCTTCACAGATCCATTTACTGAGGCCTCACCAGCTTCGTTGCTTTCCTCAATCTTTACTGTCGTACTCTGCTGAGGCTGTGACTTGCTGAATGCCTTGTTGACATCAGCGCTGTTTTTCAGTAAATCAAACTTATCTACAACGCCGTCCGGTTGAGCTGACTTATCGATCGGCTCCTGTTTAATCTCCTCCTTAATCTTAGCCTCTGGCTGGAGATCGCTGGCCAGCGTTGATTTTCGCTGTTCTGCTCCTCCTTCAGCTGCTGCTCCAACTCCTTTTCAGCGGTGCGAATGTCGTTGATCTCGCCTTTAAGATCGTCAATCATAAGCTGTTGCACTTGCAGGATCTCAGAGGTGCGATGTTGTAACTGTGTATGAATAATTCACAATAGGTTAATAAAGCTTGGATATCATAGAGACTTTTCGTACCGTTGATTCCTGCATCAGTATTTCCTGGAACTTGCCATTTAGCTGTCTGAACTTGTCCTGGAATCCCAGAGCGGTGGACTCAAACTCCTCGTCTTCATCGGACGGCAACTCAACATCGTTTTCATGCATGCAATGGTACCTAAAAAAAAAACATGTTAGCAATGGGTTAATTTATCACTAATTAGACATTTTCTCACCTGATTAGCCTCTTAACCGCCTCATCCTTGGTGCGGAAGGGCTTAACATAGTCCGGCTTCAGACAGCTCTCCTGGTCCACCTCCAGTTGGCGCACGAATCTGCGAAAATACAAAAGTTAGTAACCAGGCTCGTTGGTGTGTTGCTATATCTGCAATCCAGTTGGCCGCTTTTCTTGAAATCGGCATTGTTCAACCAACTACTCACAAGGAGAGGCGTGCAATTTTGGGTTTCTGCGTTGGCATTTCGTCCATTTTGTTCGGCATGTAAAGGGGCAGGCTCGGAATGCTCGGTAGTGTTGGCACAAGATTTCCAATTGGTCCTGGCGCCACTCCAACACCCATTGCCGCGGCTACTGGTGGTAGGATTGGCGTTGGCTGCTGCTGTTGCTGCGGCTGCTGTAACTGCTGCTGCGGCTGCTGTTGGGGTTGCAATGGTGGCAGAGGCAACATGCTGTTAACTTGCATTGCCGAATTGCTAGTAAGAGTGTTGCTACTGTTGCTGTTGTTAAGCAGATTTGTGGAGCTGGCGAAGATCAGAGGTGGTGGTCCGCTCTTGTTGAGCAATGTTGGCTGCGATTGCTGCTGCTGAAGTTGTGGCTGTTGCTGCTGGACAGGCAGCATATTTACTTTTTGTGGTAACATATTGATGCTTCCGTTGGGTGGCTGTTGTTGCAGTTGTTGTGGGTTTTGCTGCAGCTGTTGGTTGCTATTGGCTTTGTTCCTGTTGGCCGGCTCTTTGGGTTTTATTTGGAGCTGTGACTGTTGCTCCTGCTGCGGTTTGGGTTGCGCCTGCTTTTGTTTGTTGCCCGCCTGTTGCTGCTGCTGGTGCTGCATGGGATAGATGTGTATCCTCTGGGTTATGTTCTGCTGGGCATTGGGAGTAGCTACGACACCACCAGCGGCTGCTCCGGCTGCTGTGGTGGATGAGTGGTTGTTGGGTTGCACCACATTGGCGGGCACGATTGTCTTCAGTGGCTCAGAGACCGTCGGTTGTAACTGTGGCTGCTGCTGCTGCTGCTGCTGTTGCTGCTGCTGTTGCTGCTGCTGCTGCTGTTGCTGCTGTTGTTGCTGCTGCACTGCCTGGGGCATCAGCGTAAATCCTCCACTTCCGTTTGCCGTTGGCAACATACCCTCCGGAGTGGGCACCTCCTTGCCGGAGGCCAGGATTCGGTGCTGTTCGGCAAAGAGTCGCTGCAGTGCCAGATTTATTTCCGCATCGGTCATCGGCTTGTTGTAGGCAGCAATGGTTGACGGATCAATTTCCTGGGAGACGGGCAAAAGGTCGTTTTGTTCTGCAGCTTTATGGTGAGAACTGGATCTGCATCTGACCTGCTTGAAAATCTGTTGCATTTGGGGTGTTAGTTGGATGGTCTGGACCCGTGACACAGTGTTCGGTTGCGGTTGTTGTTGCTTGGGAGCTTGCAATTGTTGCTGCTGCTGCTGGGATTGCAACTGCTGCTGCTGCTGCTGTTGTTGTTGGGGTGGCAGCTGCTGCAATTGCAGTTGGGTGACTCCAGAAGCCACTGTTGGAGATGGCATCGGAGCAGGTGTAGCCACCGTGGTGGCCGTCAAGCTAAAGCTCGTCCTCTGTTGCTGCTGTTGTTGCAATATCGCTGCCGTGCCAGTCGGTTGTTGCTGCTGCATTGGCACCGTAACGCCCACCAATTTGGTGCCACTCGTCGTCTGGAAGGGCTGGATGCTGGCGCTCATCGTAGTCGTGGTGGTTGTTGTGCAACTGGAGCTTCCCACCACAATCATTTGTTTGCCACTGGCCACATTCGGTTGGACAATTTGCACCGGATTGTTGTTGGGCTTCTGCGAAAGGGGATCCAACTTTGGCATCGGCTTAACCACGCTGGCGTTCTTTAGATTGGCCAACTCGGAGGCATTGGTTGGCGTCGCCTTGGGCTTCCTCACCGGCTTCTTCTTAACCACCGCGCCACCACCAGCTCCACTGGTGGCTGCCTTAGCCGGCTCCAGTTTCGCCTTGCTTTGATCGATTATTGGCGCCACATTGGCCACCTGTTTGGTCACCGTGGTCAGTGAGGTGGTGCTCGTGGTGGTGGTCAATGTGGTACTGGCCGTTGTGGTGATGGCCAATCCATTCGTTATCGGCTGGATGGGATGCACAATCTGCTGCTGCGGTGGCTGAGGTCGCAGTGGCATAGAAAGTGCCATCGACGATGAGGCACCACTGACCGCGACTTGCTGCTGCTGTTGCTGCTGCTGGGCGGGCAGTGGATTAACATCGTTGAAATGGAGTTGTCCCAACTGCAAGCACTGGGCCAGCTGTTGGGCATTTATCCCAGCCGGAGCAATGAGCAGGCGCTCTGTGGGTCCAATCGAAGCTGCCGTTTGACCCGCGCTCATCGCCGTGATCTGATTGGTCACGCTGTTCAGGCAGAACAACTGCTGAGTGGTGGGATCGATGGGCGGCAGGGCAATATAGCGCTGCTGTCCACTGTTGGCCAGTTGTGGAGCAGGCGCCGGCGAGGGTATTGGCACGGAGATGGTTGTTGGCTGAGTGGGCAGGCTCACGGGCACGGTGACGGGCTGCAACTGGGGCTGCAGCTGCGTCTGAATCAGTGGCTGCTGCTGGATGAGAACCTGGGAGTTGAGCGGCAGAGGCGGGAAGGAGGACAGCATTTCGTTTTGCTTGGCGGGCATGGTTGCCGGGGGCTTCATCGTGGACATGGTGGTTGTGGTGCTCGTCATTCCCAGCATGCTGCTGGCGGTGTGTGTTCCCTGTCCTGACAACTTTCTATTGTTAGCCACTGCAATGGAAAAGGATTCAAATTAATCAAGTTAGTTCTTTCCATTCATTCAAGGAAGTTACTCCATATGTACAATATAATCTTTAAAGGGACAAGTATATCCTTTGACCATTTTGCCAAATTAATATCACTTACCTTTAACTTCTATTTTGGGACCTGTTGAAACCTTGGGTAGCGCTTGTTGCTGCTGCAGAATGGGCTGAGGTTGAGCCACTGGCTGAGGGATTTGGATGACTTGCTGTTGGGACTGCAACATCGGCGTTGGCTGCTTGTTGGGATCCACACGCGTCGGCTCATTGATGATGGTCACATTGGGCAGGGCGCCCTTGAGCAGTGCCTGCAGGATGAGCTGCGATTGATGGTCCTGGGATTATTGGGATCATGTCGCAGGATCAGTCGCTCGCATTGCTCGGACACGGTGAGCGTGAGACTACCAGTGAGCTGTGGCACCAGAGCCGCAGCCGATGCAGGAGATCCCACTGAAACCGATACATTGGCGGGCATTCCAGTTAACTGAGGTGGCAGAATAGTGGCTCCACCGGCTGTTAAGGCCGGCGTGGGCGTAGAGACTGCTGGTTGGGCCGCACTGGCTGTCGCCGGCGGTGGAGTGGCCTGCGGTATGGCCACCAGTTGCATCTGTCGACCATCGCTGGACAACTTGAACCCAGTGGATTCCGTACTGATCGTAGGCGCCACCGAGGGCACCGTTGGCTGAAAGACCAACTGGGTGGATTGGGATGTGGGCGCATGAGACCCCGCTCCAGGTGTACCTCCCATCACCGTTGCTCCCGGCGGAAGGATCGGCATTATCTGGATCTTGTTCTCGACCGCACTGCTCACTGGCAGGGCGGACTGGTGATGATTGTGCACCTGTGAGATCTGAATGTTGCCAATCTGACTTGGCACTGCCGTCGACGTTCCGTGGGTCAGCATCAGGGTGGGATTGCTGCTGCTCGTGGCGGGAGTGGGCGTGGTCAGTGTGATGGTGTTTACAGTGGTGGGTTGGCTGTTGTTTAGGATGGTACTAGTGCTGCTGCTGATCGTTGTGGTGCTGCTGCTCGATGAGATCATGGTACTGCCGCTGCTGGTGGTTAACTCCGGTTTCTTCGTGTTCCTCCGCACCGCAGGCTTTCTTCTTGGCTTCACAGCCGCCGTTGTGGACACGGGGTTGGAAGTTGGCGCCGGGGTGGGCGTGACCATGGGTGCCGGCGTCACCTGCGGCTGCAGCGTCATGCTGGGCAGGCTTATGTTTATGGTCGGAGTGGCAGTAGTGGTCGCCTTGGCCGCCGCTGCAGCTGCTGCCGCCTGTTGCGCCAAATGCTGCTGTGCCTGTTCTGGATCTCCTCGGCCGTGGGCAGCCGCGGAGTGGACAGACCAAATGGCGGCACCGCTGCCTCCGCACTAGGATCGATCTTGATGAGGATATTTGGTATTTCGGTGGCTGATTCGTTTCCCGCCTGTGAGGACGTCGAGGACTGGGGCTGCGGAGCGGGAATGGTCAGGGTGAATGGCAGGCCATCGCTGCCGTTTTGGTTCGGTATGGAGATCATGATGTCGCCGCTGCTGCCTGCCGTCGCTGCTCCGCTGCCGGTAGTCGCCTGGGTCTGGTTCGCTGGCTCAGGTTCGGGTGCTAGCCCTGTGTCTAGACCCATCCCGTAGTCCTCGTCGTCGTCATCGTCCCCAGTGATTCCGCAGAACTTCATCACATCGCCGAGATCTAGCTTTCCATTGCTACTTCGCTGGATGGTCGTTGGTGGTGGCGATGGCGACTTGGAGCGTACTATTTGCGGTGGCGTGGGCGTGGCCGGATGGCTATTTTCTGGGGTGTCGGTGGTCTCACCTCGACGGGCGCAACTGGAGGAGCGGCTGCTGCTGCTGCTGAATTGGAGCTGCTGCTGCTGGCGCCTGCTTCTTCTTGCGTGGTCGCGGCTTCTTCTTGGGCTCCGGAACAGTGGTCGCCTGGACAGATTGCTGGGCCTGCTGCACCTGGGATTGAGTTTGCTGCAGTTGATGCTGCAATGTTGGATCTGCGCCTGCTGCTGTTGTTGCTGTGCTGCTGCAACTGAATGGTGGCCATCGCCGCCTGCTGTTGCTGCTGCATCATGGGAACCGGCGTCGGTTGACGTAGTGGCTCTGGGGTGACGGCCAACGGCACATGCGCTGGCGAGGACTGGGTAAAGAGCTCCGCCGTCGTGCTGCACCTCCGCCGTTGTTTGTCCCGGAGCCTGCGGCGTCTGAAAAGCATTGGCTATCTGCTGGAGATGAGCCCCATTCAGCTGATTCAGTTGATGGTGGCTCCACCCAAACTCTGCTGCAGATGAGCTGGCAGTTGGGAGATCGCGGTGAGACCGTTGGGCATTTGGATTTGGGCCGCCGCCAATTGCAGATTCTGCAGCTGGGCGGCCACACTCTGGCCGAGGAGCTGGTGTTCAACGTGGCCGTCGTGGCAAACGGCTGAGATCGTGGCGCCTGCGCCTGGGCCTGGGCCTGTGCTAGGGCCGCATGCAGACCCGTGAGCTGCGTGCCAGTCTTGATGGCGCTCTGGAACTGACCCGCCGCCGTCTGATGGATAAGGTTCGCCTGCGAGGACACAATAAAGGTGGGCGCGGCAGCCAGCTGCATGGTCGCTCCATTGGTGCCCACTATCCGCAGCAATTGCTGCTGTGCCGGCTGCGTCTGCAGCTGGGGCTGTCCCCGGGCATTCTGCTGGATGACCAGGGAGGGCGTGGTCGTCAGCTGTGGTGTGGGCGGACGCAGGATCAGCTGGACGCCCTGCGGATTCTGCTGCACCAGCACGGGCATCTGGTTGAGGAGCAACTGTGCGGCTGGTTGGTGGTTGCAGGTAGTAGGATCTGCTGCTGTTGTTGCTGCTGCTGTTGTTGTTGGGTGGGATTGTTGGCCTGGCCAGTTTGTTGCGACGACTGCGAGATCTGTGCTCCACCGGCGGTCGAGCCTTTCTTTTGCTGCTGCAGCTCCTGCTGCGGCTTGGGCAGGATTTGTTGCGGTGCCTTGCCGGTCTTGCCGGTTGGCATTGTAACTCCGGCATTGCTAACGAATCGATGTTGCTGCTGCTGGAGAGGCTGCGGTTGCTGTTGTTGCTGCTGCTGCTGTTGTTGTTGCTGCTGCTGCTGCTGGATGGGCTGCTGCTGCTGCTGTTGTGTGGTGGCTATGAGCTGGCCCTGCGGTCCTGGATAAACTGGAAGACCTGCTGCGCCTGCTGCTGTTGCTGCGGCTGCTGCGAGATGGTGAACTGCTGGGGCAGCATCTGCATGGGTTGCGGCTGCGGCGTTGGCGGCTTAATCGCAGCCGCTGCAATGGCGCCGCTGGACTCGGGATGGGACTGTCCGCTATCAGGGGACTGCTGCTCTGGTAGTGCTGGAACTGCTGTTGCTGCTGCTGGTGCTGGTGCTGCCCCTTCTGACCCTTCGTCGGACCTTTGGCCCCGCTGCTGGTGACCACACTGCCAACCGAGGTGGCAAACGAGGTGGGCGTGCTGATGGCGGTGGCATTGAACTGTCCATAGCCTCCTCCCCGGCTGCCACCGCAGTCGCACTGCTGATCGAGGTGGGTGCAACGGCGCTGCTGAAGATCTGGTGGCCCAGCTGTTGCTGTTGTTGCTGCTGCTGCTGCTGCTGCTGGGTTGCCCGCTTTGTGCCCTTCTGTAATGGATAAATTATTTTAACTCATAAATTATAATTATATTTGATTCCCACCTTATTGAGCTGGATATTATTGGATCCCACCAGAGTAGCATTCAGCTCGTTCCCAATGGCATTTCCATGCAGGGTCACACCCACTCCGGCACTGCTACCAGCTCCTCCTCCTACACCGGCACCTAAGCCGGCTCCAGTTCCTCCGGCGGCGGTGGCTATCAGGCCACCACTGGTCACGCCGATGACCGTCGTGGCAGCGGCCGGCGATTGTGAGGGGCTCGGCTGAAAGACGACGGTTCCAGCATTGGGACTGCCATTGGTGAACTGGTGGATGGACTGTCTCCTGCCAGGCGTCGCCGCCTTGCGCTCCTATAGGAAAAAGGGAAAGGTATATTAACTAACAGTTTTCGGAGAAAATTCATCATTGTATCTCTCTACTCTTTTAATTTTTAATTAACAAGTAACATCAAGAATAATGTCGTATCGAAAAGGAAAGCAAGAACAATTTTGTCTCATTTCAAGAACACTTCTTCAAGAAAAAGTGACAAGCAAAAATACTCAAATCAAGCAGATTTGCTCTTGATTTTTTTGTTCTCCTGTTTTTGCCCTAAAAAGTATATTCCAAGGCTTTAGAAATTTGTATGACTGCTTAAAGGATTGATAGTTTAAAATACTTTATAAATTCCATAACCTTCTAGGCGATCAACTTACGTGTTCCTGGGGATTGCTGTTGGCGTTTACTTGACTGCCACCGGCTACGAGCACCACATCCTGTGGAAACGGCGAAAGCGATGGCGATGGTTGCAGACGAGGGCTAGCTGAGATCGATGGCGATGGACTGGGCGTCAGAAACGGACCCGGAGGAGACAATATTCCTGGAAACGAAACGAAGGCAAGGGCGAAATTAATATTTGCTTACAAAAATCGGGCGCAAAGTTGACCCAAATATATATATGTGTAGGTATATGTATATACAGTAAGAGAGTGTGGATATCTGGAGCTGCAATCGCTTTTTGGTACGTGACCAAAGTGGCAACTGTCCTCGGGTTCCACCAAGTATCTCTCACAGATAGCACAGCGCATCTCCCATAATTGTCCGCCATTTCACAAAGTTGTTTACTCTACCCCTTGGCCCTACTTTCTGTTCAGTTCCCCTTTGTGCATACAAAAGCGAGGCAACTTAGCACATTTTCAAACACCAGCTGAGATGAGAGCCCCTATACTACAGCATACTATACTATACGAACACAGCGACACACGACGAACCAAAGACCAGATACAATTTGGTTTTGGGCCAGAACCAGTTTCATTTCGAGAGTTCTTTGCACTTCTTCAGCTCGAGTATCTTTTTCTCTCACACTCTTCTTTTGTTCGACTTTTTTTCTGGACTCTTAGAGGAGCAGGGGAGCTCTGCTTTCAGCACTCAGCATTCAGCTTTCAAAATATTGGCCAAAGGCATGGACAATCTGGATAGGCATTTAATTCAATTGGTAGCTCGCTTTCAGTAACCCTCGAGGCGTCGATGGGAAGGTGTGGAAAAAGCCAGCGAGCTAGCTTAAAAGGAGTTAATCCACCGGATATGGCCCTTTTTATAGCTTTACAAATCCATTTAAATTTATTAAATTATTTCTTTTGTCCAGAGCATAGCCATATGGTTCAATAATTCGTTACTTTGTCCAAGTAAATTGTATTAAATCCTTCATCTCGAAGCTTCGTTTGCAGCTCCCCAGGAATAATTTGCATACACATATTGCCGCAGCTGAAAATCGACAAGTGGGGGAGGGAGGGATAAACCAGGGGGGAAAAGGATGAAAAAGGGGGCAGGCAACAGATGCAAGTTAAGAGCGCCAGAAATGAGGAGCAAAAGGGAATATAATACTTCAACGTTAACAACCCGCCTCCAAGTTGCTTTCAATAATACCCTTGGGCAACAGTTCGTAAACAATATTTAAAATATGATTATATTGCAAAGATGTAAAATATCCTCTTTATAACTTATACTTAAAATAGAATAATACGGGAAAGATCCGTTAGTTTTGACTAATAAACTTGAAAATTTTTTGTGAATAGAGATCAATATAAACCTATCAACAATTCCTGAGAAGTTGGCCTATTAAAAATACAATTTATGAATAATCCATAGAAATAGCCGAAGGCTTCTTTAATAATGTGTTAACTGTGGAACTGTTAAATATTGAATATTATATATAGAAAATGAATCTTCTTCAGAATGCCAGTTCGGAAAAGATCCATCCATTATGTCTGATAAAGTCTATTCAAATATAAGACCTATTGTTATGAACTCAAAGCATGATCCATCCTACCCCATATATATCCCCCTATAGGGTATAGACAGTCGAGATGGAGGATAAGCGAACATAAGCATGCATCAAAATCGACATCACCGTCTCGCTGTTGTCGGCAACTGAAAGGGTTCCGGAGGGTGAGAAAGGAAGGTGCCTTCGCAGGAGGAGGAACTGCAAGGCAGGAGGGTTTCCAAGTCTCGGCTGCCGACGCAGCAGCATCATCATTATCGACAGCAAAACTAAATGCAAAAGAATTTAACAAGCGCCCCCTGCATCTGCCTATACCTATACAGAGAGGAGCAGCTCCACCTCCTTGCCTTTTGGATGCCTCCCGCTGGCAGCAGCAGCCGTTGCCATTCAATCCTCATCAGAAGATGGCCAGAAGGTTGGGGTTTGGGTTTGGGTTTAAGGTTCGGGGAGAGAATGTGTGTTGGCCGTGATATATTCCTGGCAACGTCGAGAAATGCGAATGGGTTGCTGTTGCATTTTATGTGTGTGTGTTGTGTTGCACGTTGCCTGGGTGATGTTTGTTTGCAGCCATCAAAGGATAGGGATTGAGATTGGGAAGCGGACTCCAAATCAAAAGCAACAGCGCCATGCACCTCCATATATGTGCACACATATGTGCCCTTAGTTCACAACTGAATGGCGGAATCGCGGATAATCCCCTGTTCAGCTTGACTTGCCTTTGACGCTTTTGTCGCAGCACTTTCATTTCAATTATGTAATTAAACTAACATGTACTTGTATCTAAGGGGATTAAGTTTTTATGGCCCCAATTAAAATAGTAATTTCTGGTTTTTAATTAGGATTGATAATTGTAAGAAGAAAAAACAAGATAAAAGTTGATTATGATAAGCCTTTTGATGTACTTAAATAGATTTTCATTTTAGGGAAGGTTGAATGGCTTGGAATTTGGTTTTGAACTTATTCAGAAGAACCCATAAGTCCTTAAAAAAAAGCAATCCCTTCTCACTTCCTAAATATTATTATTTTGGATCATAGACCTCAATTAAACCTTAATAATTGTATTTACCCCAACCAATAGCTCTATAATAGCGGCTGCTTCGGCGGGTATATTATATTATATACATAGCGATATCTTTGACACGACAACTCCCTTTTCTGCAGTCTTTAATTAAACAGTTAGCAGGCGGAGGAAGCGAGACAGCAGGCCCTGGTAATTTCACACAAAGGCAGACCACAAACGAAACTAACAGGCAGATGGGTGGCAAGTGGGTGGTAAGCCCAAAAAAAAAGAAGAAAATTGAAAGAGAAACTAAAGGATAAATTGACAAGCAGACACACAGATACACACCAACCAACGCAGCAAACACATAGATACGCCAAACTTTTTGCCAGGCGAACCACAGATGAGCGCACTTTTGGCTGCCGCCTGACATGGCGAAAATGGTCGGTATGGATGCATGGATGGATGCTGGATAGATAGATAGATGGAAACTGTGCAAGCTGGCCGGATAAATGGGGATGGGATGGGATGGGCTAGGGGTCTTTGGGAGGACGTCTCCCGACTGCCTGACGGCCATTTACTTGAGTGTCTGGGCGCAAAACAGAGGCAGCAATGGCAACAGCAACATCAACGGTCTGAGAACGCCTTTGAAGGATAGCTACACTGAGAGAATAGCTTAAAAAACTTTTCGGAAGACTTTGTAAAATTCTTTAAAACCCACAGTTGCTTAAACATGGGGACGAGAAAACGGCCATTATTAATGAAAGATATCATATTTAAGTATGTACATTTATCATTTTACCAATATCATATCATATCATATCATTTCATATTATCATATTATCACTATCATATCATATCATATTATTATCACTTCCTTATCATATATCATATTATCACTATCATATCATATCATATCATATTATCACTATCATATCATATCATATTATCACTATCATATCATATCATATTATCACTATCATATCATATCATATTATCACTATCATATCATATAATATTATCAATATTAATATTTGTTAAACTTTGCATATTTTAAAGATTTGAAACATTTAGGTTAATCCTAACATTACTCCATGCTTTTGAACCCATTTGTTAGGAATTCCGTTTTAATGAGATTCATTTTTCACAAACTTAATCCCAATTCATTTTTCTAACACTCTTAACTTCTAACCGGTATTTCTTTCAGTGCACACAGATTCTGAGCTAGAGCCGCGTAATATTTTGCATTTCGTGCCGGGGCAGAACCAAGCGGCTGTTGGTCGCGACTCGTCGCGAGATGAATCCTATTTACAAGGCACAATTCTGACTGAGTGCACACACACACTGGGGGATCGGGGTGCGGGATTGGGGGCTGTAGGTTCTCTATAAGGCGGGGGTGTAGCAAGGGGGCGGCTTGTCAAAGTCAGTAAAATTTTAGTCGCTTTGAACGACAGACGTAACTGCAGCACAAGTACAAGAAAAACGGAGTGGAGGAAGGCAGCTGGAAAAAAATGTGAACTGAAAGGTAGTGGCAAAGTGTTTTTGCTATTTTCCCTCTGTGCAAGTGTAGTGGCATCACACCGCCCCCTCCTCCTTCAATCCGCTCAAGGAAAATATTTTCTAGTACGCCTTGGAGGTAATTCGGGTTGTTAAGCTGCCTTTGCAACTAGCAAAGAGCAAGATCTAATTGATTAAAATGTGTATACAGAAAGAGGCAGCCATTACAGGCCAACTACTAAATAGGTATCCTTTAATGGACCTCTACTTTTAATTCTCCTGTCCGAATTATAATACCCAAAAACATTTATAATATTCATATTTTAATGGCCACTAACAAATCACAGAAGCAAATTATGCGTGACTATTATACAATACTTTTTCCAATCAATAAATATACATATGTATAATTGGCGAGTATTTAGCACATGAAATCTGTTTTAGCCAAACATAAATCACCACCGAAACAAGAAAATGAGTTGCATTGACAGATTTTTTTTGCCAAATCATGCGTTAATGGGATTTATCCGCATTATAACCTTATAACCATAACCAGAGCACTCAGTTTGCAGTCCATCCCCAAGAAGCATACAATTTTTTTCGCTCCAGTAAATTTCATTTTTCCAAGCTATTGCGACAGAAAAAGAAGAAAAAAGTATATTTATATGCGAGAGTTCAGACTGCGACTATGAGTCTGGGACTCCTCGCTTCGTAGGACACACTTTGGAGAGACCTCCCCGTCTGTTTTGGAAGGAGCAAGGGAACAGGACAGGGGACAGCCATATGCTTTCGCATATTTTATGTGGCGGTAAGTGTGTGCTTGTGTCTGTATCTCAGTCTTTGTTGTTTCATTTATTCGGTTGACTGGCATGACCTCAGCATCCTCGACTCCTTTCCACCTTGTAAGCCCTTTCCCACCTTTCCCCACCATTTCCCCTGCACAACAACAACTGCTAAGTAGGAGCTGCTGCAAGCGGCGCCGCCATAGTCGTTTTTGAAATTTTCATCCTGCGACTCTTTAGCAATTGTTGGTCTTCTTATTTTACCCTTTTAAGAGGACATTATGCCTTCAGTTGGAAATCTTGCACAGCGGGGTATTCCT